GCAGAGGGCCAGCAGAGACCTCAAAAAACGAAGTGACTTTCAAAACAATATATCAAAGCTGGATGTTCTGAAAAGAAAAATGTCAACAACATCCCTTTAAGTTATTTAAAACAGTAACAAAAAAACCCCAACCCAAAAACACTCTCTTGAGGTACTACTGTGTTTCGGTAAATAAGGCAGCTTAATCTGCAAGTTAATTCAACCTACTGTTTTAAAATAAGAAAAAGAAAAAGAAAATAGCCCCCCCTAAACTACGGCAACTAGCTTGAACCTTTAAAAACAGAATGGAACAAAACATATCACAGTAACCGTAAAAATCAAAAGCAAACATAGATCAAAAGCAGCAACCTCATCATCGTAAGTAGGAAACATTCAAGGATTTCTGTTATATAAACTCGGAACTAAATAAAAATACAACGTGAACCCACAAAGACTTATCAATCACGATCATAAGTCGTTAGTTAGTCATCATATGTTTAATGTAGCACTGACCATGAGGTGCAGTCTTCTGTTGCCGACTAACTGTTCTGGGGCCGTACTTTTTTCGTCCAAAATTTCAGGCACCTTTCTACAAAAGGTTTTAGTGCTCACCATTTTTAGAATTTAAAGATTATAAACACGTCTTTCTGTATGAATACAGATTTTCACTTTAAAAAAACAAACAAACACAGGATCCATCCCTAAATAACGTTCATATTATAGATTGAACAGGAATATTCAGAAATAATGTACTTCAATTGTCTTTCCATTGTACCCTCTTCTAAAAACGGGCCTTAACTCAGGGAGGAGCCTCTTGTTCCTTGTGACAGTTTTTGCGAGAAAATCATAGAAAAAGTGCACATGTCAATAAGGCAATAATTAATTACAAATTTGCAACCTCAATCATATTTCCACTGCGATCTTCAAACAACACGTTTCACACACCAGTGCTACACAGACACATGAACAACATCATTAGTACATGTAGACCTTATTATGCTGTGTGAGTAGAAGGACACCCGAGTCACATAATGATATTGTGACGTTTTTACCAATACATACAGGGACCATACGACACACTATAAACATATATACTAGTTCATGACAAACCGACGTTTAAGCGTTTTGCAGCTTGTAATAAGTCGCACATCAGATGTAAAATTTCTCACTCTCTGAATAGCGTGTCACTGACACTTTTAATTGCACTGGTGTTAGGCTTACTAAGCGTGCCCTTTTTTTAAAAATTCAACATGCAAATACGACGTAACAGAATTTCAAATGTGACCTTTATATATATTGTGTTCTCTGATCATTCTTGAACATCTTCTGGTCTTTGTTCACAAACGGGCAGTGTGGTATCAACACTATTACACAACAGCATTAATCATTAAAGGATTCTCGTGTTCCAGAAACATCAGTGTGAGATTGAAAACAATGCAAAAAAGTGTAGCCTACTTGCAGTTGACAGATAATAATGTCCTTTGGCATTAGGTGTACAAAAGTTAGGTGTTTATTTTTTATTTTCTTAAAACCTTTATATATTGGAAAACAACAAAATGACTTGATTTACCTGTTGCTTTGTTTGCCGTCTACTGCTGGATGGTGAGCAAAAGTATGATAAATGAAAAATGACAACTCTGCACAGGCTCAAAATACAGTCTAACACGCACATAGCGAAACCAGCAGGACACAGAAATCTTTTTGTTATGTACAAATTTTGCTATAGGTCTATAATACGTACTTCAAATAGAAAGAATAGATAGCTACACGTGTACGAAAAAAAAATTCAGAACCTGAAAACCAGTTCCCAATGCGCCTATTCTAGTTTTGTGCATGTTCGCTATGTGAATGCTAGACTCTAAACAGATTTCAAAGATACACAATCAATACAACAGCTTCCATTATGTGATATTTTACACCTCAAGTATCTACAAACGACACACACAAAGAAGACATCCACAGACTCATTTCCAAACTGTTCTTCAAATAGTGTTCCGACAATTCTTTCTTCAATGTCAATAACTAAGGTCAACAAGCGGCCTGCTGTTTGTATCACAATTATCAAAATGCTGAGAGGGTGCCGAGCGTCACACCCTACGTTTGACTTTCCTAAAACACTGCACACAGAATTAGTCAAAACTACGCCCCTCTTTTCTGATATCAAAACACATCTTTGCCATCGTAAGAAACATAGATGACTCCCCAATTTTCTTTGCTCAACCTGTAAAACAGGGTCGAATGGAGTTACGCATTTTTGTTGTGACAGCAACAGCATGAAACATTGATCATGATCTCTTAATTAAAATGAAAACCCTAAAAGTTATTCCCAAGAAAAAGAATCTCGACTTGGTAACTGCCAGAGAACTTGCTGACTCATATAAAACATTTCCAGAGTCAAGACAGATTCATAGATAAATCGATTTTGAATAACAATATTTTTTTAAAGAGGGAAAAAGAAGGCATGCAGAACACCAACACCCCCATTTCACCACGGAATATCATTTCATCGAAGGCACAGTCTACAGAAATATGCAAATATGCTCAACGGTCAAATATAGAACAGATAGAACGAGCAGTGGTCATTCAGCGTAGAGTGTAGACCATCGAAGGACACGACAAAAAATTTGAATGGAAATTCTAAAAGAGCACCTGAGATAACTAGAAACAAATATTTGACATCATTTTCAGAAGAAAATAAAACACTCTTTAAAAAAGTCATGATGTACAGTATCAGACACATACCAGACTGCTAAAACACAATGTCAGTCTTATTGTACATTCCACATACAAAGAACAAAGAGTTAGTAAGGAAGGATCCCGTCCTATACAGGAAAGAAGGTTGAAGTCTACATCATACATACGTAGAGTAGTATGGGCCTTTTCACCAAATAATCCTTAAAAATGAACACACATTACTCTTTTTCATGATATATATTCGACTGACCAAAAGCTAACGGTAATTATTAAAGTTTTATGCCCCCATTGATCATTTTGAAGGGCAGGCCGTTTCGACCCTGCCTGTCAGGCCCAACCCCAGCTGAGAGCAATACAACATCCCAGCCGCAAGACAAAGATACTGATGCATTGTGAACTAACAAAGTACACGTGAGATCAAAATGTACAATGCCAAGATATGCCCAAAACATACAGATGAATATACTTGACTGTGAAAAACTATGGTTTAGCATCCAAGGTGTGATTTAAAAATCTCTTTACGAAAAGAAAAAAAAAATCAAATAAAAAAACAACAACTCAGGGCTTTTTTTAAAGTGCGCTTTTGGCATTTAACTAACAGTTTGTGTCTGTACATTGCCCTTCTGAAAAACCACCCGTAAACAAACGCAGTATGCCGTTCATATCCTCTACCCTACAGCATCACAAACTTCTCCACACATTTACACAGAGCCTGATTATAAATTTGAGCAATTTAAATCACATTCAAGACTACAAATATCGAAATGATTTGCTGAGTTGAAGTGAGAGGAAATTTTAATGAAACAAAACAATTTTCAGGGCTGATCACTTAAAGCTCTGTCTCCATAACAAAGTCATGATTTCAGATAGCATGAAATGAGCTAGTGCTCAATTCAATACTACAGCGCTGAAAAATGAAATCCACGCAAGCCCTTTTCACGGACATAATCAATCTAAAACTGTGCATCAAACAGGCTATGAGTGACCCGCCCACATAATCAATCTCTAATTCAATAGCTCCAAAGGACATTTTAAAAAATATTCTTTACACCTGACTTTTTCCTCCGCCACTGAATCAGTGTTGCCCTGCACTAGCAATAGTACCCATCACAATATTCGAACTGGGTCCCTATGCACGTACCTCAGTGACGGAGCACTGTGGGGGGGGAGAAAACTTTTTCTCTAAACTACCAGCACAAGGCAACTAGAACACAACTGTGTCCTTGACCCTTCTCTCCAGGACATCATCAGAAGTGAGCACAGCTCTTACAGAACACTGATAAGGGGAGAACACCACAAACCACACGGCAACACATCCAATATCAAGTATTGTTCATACTTAGCAGCAATGTAAACATAGGTGTGAAATCTCTGAATCAAATTAATAATAATTATGAACATCAATATAATCAACACAACCTAACAGGGGAGGAAATTTCCTCATTGGAATGTTCTGTTGCATGCATATTATTATTATTATCATTATTGTTATTATTACCATTTTTATTATTGTTATCATATCATTATTATCATACACTAAGGCTTGATCTAAGGAGACAGAAAAATCAACGCCTCGCAATATGGGCACTTGAGGGGGACAGGACGAAAATACAGAAAGACCAAAGACGAGAATTCAGAAAGACCAAGGATGGTAATACAGAAAGACTGATACCACAGGACTGTCTCGCAGAATGGTAGCCAAAAGGAGAGATTTCTACACACTGACAATTTGGCATGACATGACATAGTTCTTTTTGTTTCGCCACTTGCAGAGAGTCGCGTCCTGACATTGCTAAAAAAAAAGTCCAATCTGCTCTAACGACCACCTGTCCAAGACAATCACCTGTGCAAACAACCATTTCCAACTTCCTCACTTGCGTAGGGGGGGGGGGTTTTCCTTCTCTATTATATTGATACTGTCCAAGACGGTCAGCTGTCGAAGAAGAAAACTTTTTCTCCTCCACACTGGGTGGTCGCCTCGGACAAGTTCGACTACACACATGCACTTTTCACCTGCACCGAACGCAAAAAAGCATCGACAACCCCAACTCTGATATTAATTAAAATGCAACTGCAAAGCAAGCGAGAGGAACAACAAAAAGATTTCTCAGTGTGCAAAATGCATGATAAGCATGTAACACTTTTCTCGGTTTGAGTAAGAAGTTTTACGGCACTTGAAGTGCAATAAACCCATGGAAGTGCTCAAGATTAGGTGTTACCAGAGAGTAACAAACTCCAGAAAGAAGGAGTGGAGATAAGGATGATGGATAGGAAAGAAGCAAATTAGATCATCAGAGTATCCGCTGACGGCAAACACACTTTTCTCAAATTTCACGACCCACCACGCAGTTCAGTGTACATTGTATTTCAAGCCAGATCTCTTCACTAAATAAGCACATGGGGCTACCAATACTCCAAAGGATTGAGGACAAGAGATAAGTCAAGACCTATACACTACAATATGAACGCATAAAAACTATTTAAAACAAAGGAAACATAATATATGATGATTGCAAAATAAATGGGCTGATTTACTGTCAATTACCTGTACACATGATACCCACCCGCCCCTTTTTTTTTTCAAGCAAAGCAAAAACAAAATATATGCAGGACAAGAAGCTGAATGAAAACAAACCTACCAACCTTAGCACCTCTTACCCTCAAACAGCTACAAACTGAATTTCTTTCTAAAATGGAATCAACAAATATTATTATGATGAAATACAAACTTCATTTATAAAATATTTAAAATTAAGCAAGGGCAGAGGAAAATATTTAAGTATAAACAAGCAATAGAGAGTACTTACTTACGAAACATAAAACGATCACTCTTCACTTCAATTATCATGCTGTTAATGCAGCTGCTTACAAACCTGAAAGAATCATCCAGACTCCACAAACAATGTATCATTTATCAGTAACCAGCATCTCATTAGCAGAAAATCAGTAACAAAGCCGAGGGAGCATGCTGTAGAGCATGGATATGTGCTATGTAAATGCAATTATTATTATAATCACTAAAATGTGTTTCATTTATACCACTGCCAAAGACAGTTCATTAAGTAATTGCAATAAAAATAAAAATTAAAAATTAAATAATTTTAAAAAATTTATTTTTTTTAAAAAGTAATTGCAATTCTTTTTTTTTCTTTAAGAATGAAGAGAGAAATCAAACATAAAGAGCCTTGATACACAATAGCATGAAAGGATGAGTTGCACCTTTAAAAACAGTTCTTGGAAAATGTGCATAAGAATTTTTTAAGAATGTGAGAGACTCAAAATCAAATACTCCAAAAAAATGTTTCCAAAGTCTCCATTCTTCCTAAAATAAAAGCGCAGTTTACACCGTCAGGACTTTATCGCAAAAGTTAACTTCAGAAACTACATGTAGGTATATCACTCCCTAAAATAGCATCCCACTCAATTTTTTTGATATACTGTTCGGACAGTGTGCTTCATACTTCGAATGGAGGAGTAATTTACTCTAATTAACTCATCAAAGGTGTGCATTCCGGTTTTTCAACAAAGCTCAAAGACGCACTGTTTTGGGGCGTTTAAAAAAAAAAAAAGGAAGCATTACTTCTTTATTCTGAATACACATTTTCGATTCCATTTGCTTTATCTGAACCTAAAAAGACAAACTACAACATGAATGCTATGAAATATACACAGTCATGTTTCTGATTTATGCATAATGATTCAAAATGCACCGCAACATTGCCTTCGGTCTGCTGTCGGAGAGATACGCCCGGACGCCAGGTCAAGTGAGACGCCTTATCTTAAACTCAAAAAACTCTTAAACACATTCAAGTACGATTCATCACACGCAGGTGTGACTTACATCACAGAAACCACGGGATCACGTGAACCTACAGAAAGTTTGTTCTATAAGAACAAGGTGCAACTACTCCTGTTTATCTTTTCCTGTTAAAAAACCCAGCCGGATATAAAAAAACCCAGCGCCACAGTTCAACCCAGTCAAACAGACCAGTGTAATTTCCTTAAAGATATGCTTCATTAGGATAATAGCTACAAATAATACAAGGCATTTTATAGCGCTTTATCCCATGTAAAATTAAGCTCTGAGCACTTATAAAAAGCTAATACAAGTATAAACTCTGAGCACTGATAAAAATACTTCCCTGACATTAAGAAGAACTAGCCTTGTTTTCAGTTCTAGTAAGTAAAACATTGTATCCAACCAAAACGAAAAATATCCTTTTCCCTCAAAAGAGCCCAAAAGAGAATGCAAAGACCAGAAGGCCGACATATATACAGAAAGTTGAAAAAAGGGAGCAGCTACTGTTGGCAAAGAATTTGAACAGGAAAGGGTTTAACTATGCATATTGCATGTAGGGAAAGAAAATGCAGTCCAAAAAATATATATATTAATCAAAGAAAGACAACATAAGAGAGTTTTTATACATACACATATTTTCAACAAAGACAGGTCTCACAGATTCCTGAATCAAATGTGATGTCCCCTCTCCAAAAAAAAAAAAAAAAGTTGATTTGAACACGACAATGATTTAAAAGGATGAAATTAATACATGGTTTTCTTCACAATGCAATTAGTAAAAAATTAAAGAGGAGTGGACCATAAACTACCACAGATAAATTTGGTTAGGCCAAAAAAAATAAATACAAAGAGGCACAGAAGTGGTTGACAACAAAACACCAATGATTGTTCTCTTTTCATCTCCTTCACCCCTTCATTTTTTTACAAATCGCAGTGAAAATTTGAAAGAAAAATGAATTCCATTTAAACCCCCTTAAAGGTATATTTACATGTGTGAGCAATAACCACAGAATAGATAAACTGTATATTCCTATATAAAGGAGGTATAAAAGTACAGTGTAGTGTAGAAAGGAAAAGGCTATGTACATCACGGCAAAAAGGTCAAGGGCATAAGGCCTAAATTATTTAAGGCAATAGTAACAAGACCGAATGGGCAAAAGCAAAATCCAAGCTCACAAACCAGAATGATCGCAAATGTTTCCCCCTCCAAAATTTACCCAAAAAAAAACCGAATTCCATTTCAAGCTCTAACACGATTTCCATTCGATTTCTGTTTTTGATATACGTGTAAAAAAGAAAGGCCATGTGAGCATGTCTTGAGTGATTGTGAGTGCACAAAAATCCCAACATGAGCATGAGAAAGGTAGAGGGCATGATGATGTTAAAAATTGTACACATCCTGTACTTAACAATCCAATAAATTATTAACAATCACACTCTTATGCATTCCTTGGCGCAAACCAAAATGTTAGGCATAAGCAGTGTATGTACAGCTGATGGAAAGTACTTCTGACTTGATTCATCATCTTCCTTTCCCCTAAAAGATCATTAACAATATGAACACCTTTACCCTCCCTGTGTACAGCTTTTCTCTCCCTTCCCTTCTATGACAGCAACTTTAGTTTTAGTTGGTAAGAGTTTTATGGCGTTCATAACTTTATAAGTAACACAGCAAGAAATGGCATTTCACCGATGAAGCTGTAACCTCACTATATTACAGCTGAACACAAAAAAACAACCCGTTTTATAAGAAGTCTGAGAAATAGTCAAAATGATTATTTAGTAGAAGTGATTACATTTGTCCACCCATTATATTCTACTTAAACAACAACGCTATTGACGCTATTTCTCCTGGAAAACAGTTCCTTCAGATGCCAATTTCCCGGCACTCAGAAATGAAAATGAAGTAAGGATACTCTGAAGTTGCAAAGATGATGATATAATCACACACAGCAGGGTGTCAAGACAACAGACCAACTGACATGAACACAACAGCTGTGTGAACACTTTTTCGGAGGGGATAGACTCCCTAAATGCAACCAGAAAAATAGAAAAAAATATATACCATTGAAAGAACACAGGATGACAAACCATTTACATCTTTGAAACAATATGACTGTGGACAAAATGACGGGGGGGATGCACCACAGTTTAACAATGACAATCATGAGCATTTTCAAAAATGTTCCAAGGCATGAATTTAAGACAACTTCAGAAGAGGTTTGATAAATCTTTTTTTTTTCATTGGGAGAGATTCACATTAGTTATCTTTTCGGTTCATTCTGTATAATTTTGAGGGTGAATTTTTCCAATATTTTGTGATTCTCCAGACCAGTTAACTAAAATCACTTCATTCCTCCTTTTTGATAGAGCTACCTTAAACCTCTTCTCTTAACAAAAGGACAATTCACCCTTTCTATACTGTGTTACTTATATTCCACATGATGATACACAACACTTAAATTTTGACATCAGTGTTCCCTGTTCGCACTATGGTATCTTAACCAATTGGACCAATCTAATCCGTTGGGCAAAAGACATTCAATACATAGACGATGGCATTTCTACCTTGTATCATCAAACAACAATCTTTGAGAATGGCAATGAAGGACAAGCCTGGCACATTTCAATGGAATCATGATGAAATTCAAACACTGTGAACAAATACGAAAGACCCTTGTGACACACAGAAAAAAGAAAAAAAATTTTTTTAACCCACTCATAATTCGGTATTCAAATCACACATCACAATTGAAATTACTTTTAAGTAAGTTAAGTAAGGGAGCTGTGGACAAGTGCCAACTGCTGCCAAAAACTAAAAGCAAAAACAAAAAACCCCGATAAATCCTCGATTCTTTTCGCGACTTCGCGCAAAAGACATGAGGTATAATCTTTACGTCTTGTCTGTAAATTATTATTGTTAATTGTACGAGAGTTCAACATTTAACTGAAGAACCTTGGGTTGGCAACAAAATTAACAAACATTGCATGACTGTCCTCAATAGCCTTCCAGGTAGGTTAGCCTTAAAAACATGACCCTTGACCTTAACGTTTTCACACTTCCTAAACCTTGGCACCGTCACAGTCTCAAAAAGCAAATATTCTAAGTACTCTTTCTGACCTTATCCACAATTCTGACAATCTTTATCACAATTTAGCTTCAGGTAGACTTTTCCACTCCTCAAAGCCATGACCGTTTCTGAATAAAAAAAACCCTCTGATATCTACTACAATCACCTCTCTCTCTCTCTCTCACACACACACCAGGCGACACATATGCAACCCCCCACAAAACAACCCACCTTTGCAACTCCTGTGTACATCCAGTACATCCAATACTTCATACCTCTATCATCACTAAACAAAACCACCACCCGAATTACCGAATTACAACAAATCTGCTGAGCAAAAGTATAAACAAAACCAGGGGGCAGAAACCACACTCTCCGTTACTCATCCCCATCCCCATCCCAACCACCACCACCACCACCACCACCCACAACCAATTCCCCTCCCTCTTTTTTTTTTTGTTGTCCTCTTTATTCTAAAATACAATTTCCCAATTTGTAGTCCGCTCCATCTCAACCTTGTCCACTCAGATGGGCTGCACCTTGTTGTTGCGTCCCACAAATGACCGGCGAGCAGGAAGGGTGCTGTTATCACCAGTCCACGCGTCTGTCAGGAAGAGATCGAGATAAAACAAAATTCTGAGTTAATCCTCCTGTTCAAAACGGGCTACGGATACAAGACAAAAAAAAGTTCCTCAAACTTCTTCATAATTATCTACAGTATCAGGGTTGTACCGAAAGCTAATCAGCTATATTGATCGGCTTTGTGTACTGTCCAGATATTTGGTTGTTTGTTTGATGTTTGTTTTTGGGGGGGGGGGGTTGGGGGGGGGGGGGTTCTGTTTCGCATGCATATTGATGGTGCAGCACACAGAAAGGAAGATCTCCGATGGTACAGAACAGGCTACAAACTGTTTCACAAAACTACTGCAAACCGCATTTTTTCACGTGCAACATGAATTCACGATTTTCACATTTTTTAAAGAAATTTGCGAATTCAAGTCATTAGTAAAATGTTAAACGATGTACTACAGCATTGGAACACATGGCACTGGGCAACTCCAAAAAATATGAATACAAAACGTTCCAAGAAAACTTAAATGGGCACAATGAAATGGGGGAAAAAAAAACCCAAAAACAAAAGAGCACTGGGGAAAAACCTGTTGTAGAGTATCAAAGACCACTTCAGCTCAGATTTAGCATAAATGAATAAAGTTTTTTGGGGGGTACAAAACCTTGGTGAGCAACTTTATAGGGATGATGTACATTAAAGTAGACTTTCAAGATCTAAAAAATCTCAATGTTAGCCCATCTTTGCCCGACAAGATTAACAAACAGATTTTGGACAAATATAGGACAGCTCAGCTGTCCACATTCTCAGATGGGTAGGCTTGACGCAACAGCCCATTTGTCTTGAAACTGTCGAGAGTTGGGACAGACACAAAGGTGTATGGCATTACTGTGTGCCTTGAGAGAGAGAGAGAGAGAGAGAGAGAGAGAGAGAGAGAGAGAGAGAGAGAGAGAGAGAGAGAGAGAGAGAGAGAGAGAGAGAGAGAGAGGGAGGGAGGGAGGGAGGGAGGGAGAGAGGGAGGGAGAGAGAGAGGGAGGGAGAGAGAGAGGGAGAGAGAGAGAGAGAAAGAGAGAGAGAGAGAGAGAGAGAGAGAGAGAGAGAGAGAGAGAGAATGTGCTTGTATTTACACGTGAATGTGTGTGTGGGTGTTCTGACGGTGTCAACAGATTTGCAGGTCACAAATAATAAAACTGAATTGGTTGATTTGTACCAGGTATCAAAGATGAATACTAAAACGTTCGCCTTAGAAAAGCAATGAAGCAATGCAGGGTGAAAATGTGGAGACGCGATATTTTTTACACTGGTTAATGTTAAGACCATCTGCTGGTGAAATTTCTAAAATCCATATTCCTTGACTATATATAGCAACGATGATATATTCAAATTAGTCGTACATCAAAGAATACATTCAAGTAATTATTTATTACTAGCTGGGTACACGTTCGATGAACTGATTTAAAAGAATCATCAATCATCAAGTCATTGTGTAACCAGTGCGAACAGCTTGTGAACGGAAGCCTCAGTTGTTCACAATGGCGTCTTAGAGGATGGACTTTCCCAAGATTAGATCTAAACGAAACTAATGAAAACTGAAAATTAAACTACAGTGACTTCAGACTCCTCAATAAAACTGTGCACCCTTTAAATGATTCTGAACCACCGTTATTTTTTTCTAATTCGAAAGTTAAGTGGTTTGGAAGTTTTCGCCAGCCAAAGTGACGAACTCTAACGAAATATAATACATAGAGATTATAATCACATGGTAACCAAGCAAACATCCGCCATATTGAATAATTTCACCAAATTTCAAAAGTTATCTTCTCTCTTAATTTTCTTCCGATGGCTTTCATTTTTTACGAAGTACAAACTACAAAACATAAGTAATTAACAAATAACGCCATGTTTGTAGTATTATGACTACGAAAATAATTATGGACTCTGGAAATATGTACAAGGATAAATAGCAAAAAAATCTTTAAATTCCCAGCAAAAACACTCATTGTAATCTTATTCTTTCATTATTATCTTCAAAAAGGACTTTATTTCAGTACAGCTCACCTAAGGATGTGTAAAAAATTATGAAGCTATCCAGATGAGAAAAAAATGAAGAAAATATTTTTAAAACACGACCCAAAATTGTAATTTTTTAAAAACCCCACTTCTAAACATAACTGATTGAAGTTGGTGCTCGAAACTTTGAAGGAAATGGATGTAGGTTTCAAAATGGAGGATAAAAAGTGCATCGTTAAAACGTGGGGAAAATAGGGAAAATCTCACCAGCAGATGGCCTTAAGCCGTGAACTGCCACAAACGTGTGTGTGTGTGTGTGGTGGTGGGTGGGTGGGGGGGGGGGTTCATAATATAAAGGAAAAAATGTGTGCAATGGATAACATAAAATTATTGAATGAGAAAGAATAATATAATAAAATAGTACTGAATAAAAAGTCATTCACAGTCAAATGATAAAGTTAGAGCAACCATAGGTCTTCATTCTCGAGATATACAACTTCTCGGATAACATGAGAGAGGAGATATAATGATATACAGGGCATCTCTTCCCCCCCCCCCCCCCCCCCCCAACACCCAACATAAATGTCATGCACCGACTGTTAACGGGATGACTAATCAGCAGAAATGTATAAATTATTTTTCAAAAACTAAAAAAAAAAAAAAAAAAAGAGCTGAAACAGCAACAGTGGGTTGTCCTTCAACTTCACAACAGAAGTTGCCTCAAGCAAGTCAGTGTTTACCATCAAATCCACAATCCGAACAACATCTAGAACTAAGGCGATGATTAACTAAGCTAGAACGCTGAAAAAGCATTTTTGGAAGGGTTTCCAACTCAGAAATACACGGTAGACAGCAAAACAGAACACTTCGATACCAACAGCGAAGGGAAGCCAGATCTTGAATAACAACCGAAACATTGAGGGAGTCTTTTTTTTTTTTTCCCCTCCTTCCTTGTGCTGGGCAGCTGTGACAAAACTATCTTCTATTTCTATTCTGTCATGACACAAAAACTCACCCTTAACACAAATATGACATTCCATAAGTGGGCTCCGACGCCCAGAGTAAAGAAAAGAAAGAAGGAAAAAACAGCTGGAACGGCATTGAATTCGTATAGATCAACTATTCCCTCTCTTATCACGGAGAATTTAAAACATTTGTTGAGGGATAATTTGATGTTCGTGATTCTCACGCTCTTACTTTTAGTCTTACAGAGAAGTTTCCTACCATCTGTGATAAGGCTGCTGGCTAAGTGACTACTGTCGATATTTTTTAACTGTGCACATTATATATTACACCAATACATCATATTAATATCATACAAATATATTTTAATTAACTTTCAAAATCTGTGATAAATTTCTACATGTTATATTAATGTTTTATAAATTTCCTACAGGGAAAATAGAGTATTATTCTATTTTATCCTATCTTAAACCGTGTTGAGAAATTTGAAAATCAGTCTCATAAAGACCTGCTTAACAGTCTAAAGGGTGATGGCGCGCAATGCATTTAGATGCCACGTAACTGTGAGAGAGATTTTAAGTTTAGTGTTAGGTAATATAAAACACTGTTCGTGGAAACGTAAAAGAAGTGTACCGATGTCTTCATCAAGTACGACAGCTTTTGACTACAGCATAAATGCTACTGGGTTCTCAAAGTACAATACCACGTAAAATATGAAAAGCCAGGGGTAGCTGCTCTAAGAGGCATATAGGTCTGCTTTAAAGTTTCTAGCCAAATAATATGTCTTAGTAACACATAGAAATCAGTAGCAAGCAAGTATGGAGTACTTTTCAGACAATGGCCAAATTCATCTAGAAATGATTATATCGATAGCTTTCTCAGTCGAAGCTTATGCTTACACATAATATACATATACATATACAGTCAAACCTGCTTCAACGACCACCTGTTCAAGATAATCACCTGTACAAACAACCATTTCCTGCTTCCCTCGTTGTTTTTTTCCTTATAATATTGTAATGACACAGTCCAAGAGGACAAACCTGTTAAAGATGACCATTCTTCTCCTCAACCACAGGCGGTCCATTTGGGCATGTTCAACTGTATACATATAGATCTATACTATGTAAAAGCATACATAAAATTTCATAAGCCTGCAAGCATGACGGAAAAATATGAACGAAGAGATCCAAATAACTCACATTTTTTTAAAACATTAGCCAACCTATATGTGCTCATTTACAAAATTCCTGGCAAAGAAAGCTAGCGAGTATGCACTCCTACAACTAAGGCCAACCGGTTCAAAAGAATTATTTTCAATAATGCTTGTACGAATCATACTTGTGAAAGGAGGAAGAATAACGATAATAGGATCTCACTGGGCTTCAACATTTGGAGCAGCAACGAGGAACTATTGTACTGTCTACACCCTCAGGACACACTAGATCCAAAAAAGCGTTTGGGACAACCACTGACAATCAAGTCAGTTTGTTTGTTTATTTGTTTGTTTGTTTGTTTATTTGTTTGTTTATTTGTCTGTTTGCTGAGTAAAGAGAAGCACATCGACACAATAAGTGGGAAAGAGTAAGACATACAACAGACTAACAGAAACAACAGAGGATAAAGTAAAGAAGTAAGGCCAACCAGTGGTGCCCCTCCAACCAACCGCAAAAATCAAGCCAGAGAAGATCTGTTCAATACAATGTGTAAGTGGCAAATACAAAGAGAAGAAGAGATTTCAAAAGAGGATTTGAGCTTCACGGAGATACACTGACACAAAAAAGGTCATTTAACGCTGAAAGTAAGATATAAAGACAATGGATAAAGACAGCACTTGGAATGAGATAAAAACGGCACAAACAGACACGCAGAAGGAAAAGTCATTAGAGAAGTATGAAGAGGTACACTGACACTAAATGGTCATTTAGCACTGACAGAAAGATAAAAAGACAGTAGACGGACACAGTGTTCTGAATAGGATAAAAATTGCACAAAAAGAAATGTGGTAAGAAAAATAAAAAGAGAGGTATAAAGAGGCACACTGACAAATAAATGGTTATTAAGTACTGGCAGAAAGACAAGAAAGACAATAGATAAAACAGTACTTGGAATAAAATAAAAATTGCAAAAAACAGAAATGCAAAAGGAAATGCCAAAAGAGAAGTACGGGTTTTAAGAATGCGTACAGCATTCTAGAAGACACACAGAAAATAAAGAGCGCCAAAAAAAATGCTGAACATATTTCAGTCCATCAATAACAATGACCACCCAAATGAGATTCCCATCGTAAAGTAACATTCAAAAATCATTGAAAATTGCAGTTATGACTTTAGCAAGGACAATTACCCCATGAAGAAAAAATTATCACAAAATGATAAGGACTGCAGTCATTTCCCCATAATTTTCTGATTGGCAACAATTCTAAACTCTAAACTGATTGTACATATCATGTTGATCCAGCAAAAAAGATGAGCAATCAACGATGGACCTAGATAAAAATAAAAGCAAAAACTATAAAGTAAAATTCTATCACTTATGAATATTGAACGGATAGAATATAACAACATTACACAACAAACTGCGCACGAACTTCACACTATCTTGTACTGCGTCCGTTTTTCAGGGGGTTTTTTTGTAAAGTATTTTAAAAGCACACTGATTTTCCAGTCGTTAAAAGAACAACAAAACTCCCAAAAGTCAGAAACTGGACAGAGTACAAGATGGACCTCGGTTCACGAAATATCAAAGTACAGAGGCACTAGGACTAAAGCCCATTGCAGGGAGAAGCACTAAAAATACTTGCCAAATGTTGGTCATCTCTTTATACAATTGGCCTGCGACTCCCAATAGCTGCATCTTTCAAAGGTATCTTTAAGCAATTTAGTTCTGCAGTGCATCAGACGAACTGTATACGCTCCCATCCAAGCCCACCCTAAACAACTACATATTTATCCCAAATACCAGTCAAGAAAAAAAGTCTGTGCAATTAAAAAGAACAACAAAATATGAAAACTAACAAGACACAACAACAACAACAACAACCACAACAACCACAACAACGACAAAAACTTATAGAATAAACAAACATTCGGTCATTTGTTTCCCACCTAAACAACATCCTAAACTGCTATTAGGAACAGTTAGGAAAATATTTTCCACTCTCTACAATAAGGCATAGAATTAAAGGGCATGAACCCAATGACTGCTAGAACATCAAACATACTTTCTGTGCTGAAAACACAACATCGTTTAAACATTTAATCAATTTTTGCAAAGATTTAACCAAACAATGATTAAGTCACAAATAACAATTATTTATCTGAACTGTACTTCTTAAACAGTAAGCATGAACACAGAATGAAAAAAGATTTTTTAAAGAGACCAAAAAATCCAAACTGAAAAGGTTGGACAGGCCATGCAAGCATCGGCACTACTTACGAATGCGCAAGAAGAAAAGGGCGGTGAGGCATGCATGTGGCGTTAGTACGGGTACGAGTAGGAGTTCTTGTGGTCGTGACCGCTAGCATGCAGGGCTGGGTAGGCCGAGGAGAGATCATGGTGTTGGTTGGGGTAGTGCTGGTGGTGCCGACTGCCCTTCTGATTGTAAGACGGGCCCACCGCATACGCCGATATACCTGGGTGGTGACGGTGCTCGTCATAGGGCGGGGGCGCGTGCTGGGGCCCGTAGCCCTTGCTCTCCGGGCTGTACGCAGAATTGGTCTGGCCCGACTGCTGCGGGGCTGGGTAAGAGGAGGAGGGGTAGGAACCTCTGCTGTGCCGGCTACGGGGTTCTTCCACACTACCAACAAGGTAAGAGGGTGAGTGGGGAGAAGGTGAAGCAGAAAAGGAAGAGGGTGGGGGTGATTGGAAACGGGGGACGGGGAGGAATGGGGAAGGGCAAGGGGAGAGGGACAAAGGTAAAGGATAGATGAGAACAAATCATTAGATCTCGAACAAAGCAAAAGGTGAGAAACCAGCACAGCATTCTCTCAAGACAAAAAAAAAACCAACATGCAAAGAGAACTCAAGGACTTGATCAATACAAAACAACTCTTGTACACTTTTGCTTTCTCCCTTCCATGCCTGACACAACGTTTTCAGAGAGGACATAATTATCTCAATCGTCTCGTTCCCTTTTATAAGATTTCAGTTTGCTTTGTCTTAGAGACACTTTTCTTTGAATCGGGAAATTATAGTGAGACACCTTTTTCCATATGTGTAAGGATGCCCTAATCAATTACTCTACACTTTTAGGGCGTTCAGAAAGAGAGCACTTGGTACCCCATCAAGGTACTGGGTTGAGATGAAGAAGATTTTGGGGAGGACAATACATGTTTAGATCATGCTCAGATTCAGACCCCAAACTTCTCATATTTGGCAGAGTAGGTTGATCAACTGCATCACAGAAGTCCACACTTAAAGCATTCCAAAGTGGCTGCTTCCACACTTACAAGAATGAAATGAACTATGTCAATTCTTTCATCCCCTTTTTGAGAATGTTGTCAAACTTCAAGACCTAAAAGAAAACTACAGAAGCAGCCAATGAAAACCATTCTTTTTTTTCTTTTCTTTTTAATGTTGATGATTTTCATCAATTCTCTTTGACTGTCAGAATATCATGACAACTATTACATTGGAATGAGAACCATTCTTTTGTTAATGTAGATGTTTTATGTCCATTCTCTTGGACTTTGAGAATATCATGACAACTATTACATTGGAATGAGAACCATTCTTTTGTTAATGTAGATGTTTTATGTCCATTCTCTTGGACTTTGAGAATATCATGACAACTATTACATTGGAATGAGAACCATTCTTTTGTTAATGTAGATGTTTTATGTCCATTCTCTTGGACTTTGAGAATATCATGACTACTATTACATTGGAATGAGAACCATTCTTTTGTTAATGTAGATGTTTTACGTCCATTCTCTTGGACTTTGAGAATATCATGACTACTATTACACAGGAATCAAAACCATTCTCTTCTCTTTATATTGCAGGTGTTTTACATCCATTCTCTTTGACTGTGAGTACAATATCATGACTACTATTACAATGGAACCTCTTTTTTTTTTTTTAGCGACACCTTTTGAGGCGCCAAAAGGAACCACGTCTTAACCACTTTTAAAAAATGAATCTCAGGTAGAGAAAAAAAAAGAGAACTGGCCAGGCAATCTAACAAACACTTGAATCAAAAGAATGCTAGATTGATTAAACACTTGAAGAAGGCCCTCATCAAATCACACTTTTTGTCAGTAAACCAATCAGGCTCCCATGACAGAAGAGGCTAAAAAGTTGTAATTAATAATTGTAGGTGCTTTACACCCAACCAATCAACACTATTTAGATCATTGAAGGGGAGGGCGGCTTCCACTCTGCCTATCAGGGCCAAACCAGGCTGAAAGGGATACAACACCCCGGCAGAAAGACGGGAGGTACTCAACAAAAATTCACCCCACAAGGAAATCGAACTCACGTGTTCTGCGTGTGATGGAGAAGAGGTATGCTGAAGGAAATAAAAATTGAAATGACAACACTTCATGGAAATTACCAAGATATATGACCAACACAATGTCCTGGACAGGAAACCAGAAGCAAAGGAAGACTCCAGAAGAAAATGATCAGGAAAAGATCTTTTTCAAAAACCTTGCAGTTTGAAGGCCAGGGTACGAGATATATCATGCAGAGAGACTCCCGAAAACAGTGTTTGATCATACAGTCATAAATGAACCTGACGCTCAGCAATTGCCGGGTAATGTACCAAAAGAAATACTGTAAAAACAATAATAGTGGTGCGTAACCTGCAGTGATCACTGGCGCCCATATGACCTTATGCAGTTGCGAGTGCCGTAAAACCTCTACTAAAACAAAAGTAGTGATCACAAGATGTACAAATTTGTACAGGACACAGCCTGGAGCCAAGTGGGTCGTCCCCAAGCAATAACTTCCCATCGTGAGTGAAAAGGCGGTAGAAAAACATCTTTCAAACACAGCATGCTACTCCAGTTCACAGGGACAGAAGTAAAAGAAAACTGTAAATGGTTTCGAGTCATGGGATGTCAACATAACAGAACTCTCTCTCTCTCTCTCTCTCTCTCTCTCTCTCTCTCTCTCTCTCTCTCTCTCTCTTCCTCCCTTTTTAATTCGCTCTCTTCCTTCCTCCCCTCCTCTTTCTCTCACTACACTTCTCTCTTATCTATATCTATTTATCTCTCTTTCTCTCTCCCCCATATATCTCTCTCTCTCTCTCTCTCTCAACTTCTCCACCTCTCCCTCTCCCTCATCCAGCATCAGTTACCAGAGTAAACATTTAAAACTAAACCCTACACCATGTTGATATCATGGGGAAATGGTATTGGTTTAACATCTCTATCAATGCTATTAGGTTATTTAAAAAGATGGACCTCCGAATTTATTGTCCATCTCCAAAACAACCTAGCCAAATAGGAAATTCATGTTAAGGGCCTTTCCCACGGACTAAACGTCAGACCAAGCTGAGGCTCAAATCCCTAAAACCCGCAATCTCACTATTGAAGGTCCAGTTGCCTAATCACTAGAATACCAATGCCACCTATAAACTCCCATACAAGAATCACAGGAATAGTTCCTTCAATGCAGATGATTGGCTTAAGACAAAATTGTAGAAGAAGATCCAGGCATGGTGAAAATCTGATATTATCTCCTGCATAATACTGAACTGCACTGGACAACTCTAAGAGCAAAAAGTCTCTCGAACAACACATGATAAAAGGTATTTATCACAGAAGAGTTTTATGATTAAAGGCATTCCTGATCCCTCACAGAAGAGTTTTATAACAAAAGGCATTCATGATCCATCATAGAAGAGTTTTATGATTTAGAAAGTAACAGAAGAACGGCTTAAGTTGCACGGCAGGACTAGAAGCTGGTGCCATTCCAATAGACCACACACCATTACCTTGCCAGGCAACATTCGTAAATGCCGATGATGAAATAAAGCAGGAAGAAAATAATATGCAGGCCCCGCACTTAACTCAAAGCATCGCTTAGCACAGCATAAGAGAAACGATGAAACTATTTCGGGACGGTCCAAGAACGTGCCTCGGGTGTGTGTGGGATTGTGAGTGTGTCTCGAGTGTGCGTGGGATTGTGTGTGTGTGTGGGATTGTGTGTGTGTGTGGGATTGTGTGTGTGTGTGTGTGTGTGTGTGTGTGTGTGTGTGTGTGTGTGTGTGTGCGTGTGTGTGTGTGTGTGTGTGTGGGTGGGTGTGTGTGTGTGGGTGTGGGTGTGTGTGTGTGTGTGTTCGCATGCATCTGTGTGTGCCTGAGAATATGTGAAGGAGTAAGGGTCTGTATTTGTGTCTGTAAAAGTATTGTGTCTATTATGAGATGGACTTTGAAAGAAGCAAAGAAGCACCAGCGGCAGCTGACAGTCAAATGAAAAACTTGGGAATGCATTTGCAGGATGAAAAGGGAGTCACAGAAAATCCTTGCTAAATTCAACAACATATAACCCATCTGAAGCAAAGATGATATATCAGCTGCTCTTGAAAACTGGCATGAGCTCAAATGAAGCTACAAACATCTGCTTAGTGGCATAACATAAGACTACACGGATATTGAAATTGTGAGAGGTATTCACTACTGCCAGAACAAAGTACAAATGATAAGTTCATAAGATGTTATCATATCAGCGTAACTTTTTTATTAATAAAGCTTACAAAATATTGCATTCCCTATGTACACACAACTATCAGCAGAGATAATATTGACCTCCAGAATCTTCACAAATGTGTGAGACCAGAGACAGAACGGTAAGACAGAAATAACAATGTGAACTGAAAAGGTTGGGGAATAACATTATCAGGGGAGAAAGGCGTGAGGGAGGGGGGGGGGGATGCCGCACAACATAAAAGGATTAAATGCAGAGGAGTGGGGGATAAACTTAAGACAGAAAAAAAAAACTCAAATAAAGCGGAACCGATCTCCCATTAGTGCTCACAGTGTCCACTTTTCCTGTAATGACCTAGAACGTTTCGTCTTTTTCAGCAGTATAATTCGTATGCCCTGTCTCCTTGGAATCTCTGAACAACAACAACAAAGACAATTCAATTCAGGTCATGTTATTTAATGTGGGGGGGGGGGGAGGAGTTGTTTGGGATTTGTTCTACCTACAATACACTCTTGAATCCTGGCACTAACCAAAGTTTTGCATTGGATTCCCATACATGTGAAAACACAAACTACTTTAGTTTGCTATGATGATTTTTCTTCTTTCCAGTCTCCAACTTTTCCCTGATAAAAAACTCGAGACACAATCCATATCCAGCAGTTTTTCCACATCATTATTCCACGAGCCTTTATCATTTATCTGCTCTATCTGCTTAAAGCAGGGGGATACTTCTATTTAACTAAAAGAAATACACTTCCACAACTGCTTAACCTAGTTGACTTTTACGACTTTTTAACACTGTTCAATTCATCGCTATACTTCTGATAAGAAAGGATGACTAGCATGACACAAGTCTCTATAGCATAAGGTGTTCTTTCTCATCCATAAGATTTCCTTGATAAAAACTTTTTCAAAGCCCAAAACACTATCCTTTCAGCAAGAGAAAAGTAAACGCAATAATAATCCTTAATGCCACAAGTACAGGCATCCCCTTGATGTATTCAGACGAGTCCGTGTATGCAACCTACACACTCATTGTGCCTACTTCAGTGGGACAGCTATGGATACTGTGGGTATATTATTTCCATGAAATCTGAGATCTACTGAAACGATGAAACGAGTCTCGTTAGCTCCTGGGTCCGAAAACACATGAAGCAGACAGAGATCTTCTGTGCTTAAAAAATTACAAAAACAATATCTCAAATACTTTTATTCAACCACTTCGTGCTATTCACAATTGGCAACCAGTACAAATCAGCAATGAGAATGATCGTGTTTGATTTTACGTGATTTCTAACAGTGAGTCTCTTTTTTTCTCATTCTATTGCATTTTAGTTAGCTTCCTTTTTAATGCTTGTTTGGTTTATGGATTTATCTCTCTTCAACCATGTCTGAAAGGCGTGACGCTGTTTAGTTGGGAACCAACATTGACAATAGTTCTCTTTGATAGATTTTCCATTCTTCCTGTCTCAACAAAATAGCTGTGACCACATCAGAAATGTACAGAAAACACAGGTTCTTCTCCAAACTGTGATCACACAAGAACACACATTTGAGTGCACATCCACAGACACATACATACACACCCATCAGACAGAACAGTTAAATCCAGCTATACATGAAAGGAACCGCAAGAATAAAATTGACATGAGAGTGGAGAAATGCTGCAGCAGAATGACCACCTTGAAGAATACTTGAAAAATATCAGAGCAGTTAGTTGTTAATATTTTTTCTTTTTGGTTAGAATCAAAATAAACCAGTCCAAAAATGAGAACCAAAAAATCATCCCGTTAAAAAAAGTAACCCTCTGATTTTAAGAAAATGTGAACCAACTTTTATAAATAAAAAGGAACCTTCAATTTGGCTCCTTTTCTTTCAACTTTGCACAAGAATTAGAATAAAAAGTCCCAGAAAAGAACATTATTCAAACCATCTAAGCATTTGCCTTGACATAAAATCATCATGACACTTTAGCAAAACAATAGGTCTCAACAAGCCAGTAGACAGGGTGAGATACACTGAATTAACCTTCATCTCAGACACAACCAAGCTACACTGGTCGAAAGACGCGAGAACTTCTCACACAACTCAAGTTCAAGAATACACGTTTAAGGTTTCGAACCTTAGTCTAAATTATACTTTTAAGGGAAGTTGATATTCCTCTCCATTACTGACCCAGTGCAATTAGTTTGGGCATTCCAAGGTGTGCTTGTTATCCGCAGGCCATACAGCAAGTTTCACTCATTTCAGACTACAAGGCACAGAACTGGAAAACTGCATGCTGGCATTCAGTTGAAATACACGTAACAATGGTGTATCAAACAAAAGGCCAAAGCTTGGAGACATAACCAATCACTTCTGTCTCTGTATTTCAGTTATTCAAAACTTCTCCAGCCTGGCCTGTCTTGTGTGTCTATATATCAGCACTTGGCCTTACAGTTTTTTCTGCCGGCAAACAAATGCACTCTCCGCCCAAGCGAGAAACTGCAATTATATGCATTCCCTTGCTATGAACTCATACAAGAAACAGGAAAGCTATTAAACAATGATGGCAATCTTTGCTCTAGCAGTGAATTTAAGGGGCCAGCTACAAATTCTGATGATAATCCCAAGACATATTGTCCACAAAATTTGAGATCTACTTTCACAGGGGTTTTTTTTTCATGCCTAGGTCTGAGAATTCATGAAGTAAACACTTTGCTCTTTGACTAAATCTCAAGAAAACAATATTTTGGAGACTCAAACTCAGCCACTTTGCGCTCTGTACATCTGGTAATCAGTACAAATGTTCATTCCGCAATTACACTCCAAAAGCACACTTCAACAGTAACAAGTTTAAGACAATATTCTGCTCAACTAATTAGTACAACCAGTAATTAATCACATGATAAGCTTTTTCTACAGTGTCAATTTTCAAGGCATAAAAGCTGGCCAAAAGACTAGTATGCAAAGTTAAAGTTAACACTTATTCTCGGTTAGTCACTGACTAGCTATCACCAGTATTATTCACAACTTGTTTCAAGTAAATTGAAGTTTACAACGGTAAAGAAGTAAAAAATAAAAAATAAAAAAATAAAACTTCAAGATTTTTCAACAGAAAACCTTTCAAAGAAGCTTAAAAAACACATATTCTCACCTGGTCAAGGGGTAGGTATCGCTGGAATGTCCTCCATACATTGGGTAGTTTCTGTCCATAGAGAAAAGAAGAAATCATGTCATGAACACTCAAGATGTACAAATCAATTATTCCCTGTCATACTTTCGTTTATCTTATTTCAAGTGTTCAGATTTATCAACTTGTCGTTTTAATCCCTCCCACACACAGTACAAGCAAATCACAGCAAAGATTTTGGTAAACAACAGTTTAAATTTCTTAAGATAGTCCAGTTAGAAAATTCAAACTTCTGAAAGAGACTCAATAATATAAAATTTCTTTATAAAAATTTCCAATAATATTCCAAACAAGAAGCAAAATCCATGTTTTTCGAATCACATGTTTATATTAAATCAGTTTGGCAAAAAATAAAAAACCCTCTCGACATCAGTGGTGTATCTATATTGATGGGGTTCAATTATTCATTAGAACTAAACATTAAACTTCTCACACAAATAGGGCTCTGATTTAGTTATCCAATTTCTCCTGACATGACCATTTTTTACGCAAAAAACTAAGTCTCATGAAAACAAAACTGATAAGAGAAATAACACAGCTTAATGAAACGACAAAAGAATCGGGCCTTATTCAGAACGTACATGACAGATGAATCAATTTACTTACGGGTCGTCAAAATCCTTCTCATACTCCTGCTCACGTCTGTACTGGCTAGCCAAGAGCACGGCAAAGATTAGACAAGGGATAAAGAAAAACAGGCACCATCCAAAGCTGAACCACAAGCCATTCTGAAAACAAGACAACGATTTCATTTTGCTGAGACACAAAACTTTCTTTGATTTACTTATTGTCAATATTCGACTTTGTCATCAATTTTTTTTTAAACAACAGCTTTTTTGGGTTTTAACTTTCGATATTGAGTAAAGAGAAGCATATCGACACTAGAACTGTCATATAGAGCAGGGAAGAAAAACAGACAGAAACAACAGAGGGTTATAGTAGAGGGTTTTACGGCGCTCACAACTGCATAAGGTCATATGAGCGCAACAAAGGGTTAGAAAAGAAGTATGACCTACCAGTGGCGCCCTCCAACAACCTACAACCAGTACTGTATATAGCAAAGCATTAACTCACTCAATCCTGAGACCGAGAAAATTCGGTTCTATAGTTTTGTTCTGTATACTACTAGTTATTTCGTTTCGCCTCAAGTTTTATATACGGTCAATTTATTATTTCCCCGGCCAATTCTGCCTTGAGGGAGCTGGAATTTTGTTTCAACTGTCATTACACATGGAGATATTACGGTTTTCAATTGAGGCACTTTCAGCACTTTTGTTCACATTGATCAGCTGAGCATGTCTCGCAATGGATTCTCTTTGCCTTTCTCACATATACATTTTTTTTAAATTCTTGAAAGTATTCAACAGTCTTCATTGTACATGACATACAATATATAGATCTAGACACTAACAAGCATATTTGAATATCAATGTAGGCTTGCACTTGCTCATTCATCCGTGAAAAAAAATTACAAGCCCCTAAAAATGACAAATTTGTACAACATCCCAAAGCAAACTTCTAAAACTACATACTTCAAAATTGGTATGTCTAAAGAACCATCTGAGGTTGCTATTTGTGCCATATTTCAAAGCAACTGGATTATATTTATGGTTACTAGAGGGCCCTTACATAAGCGCCAAAATGGCCTGCTTCTGGGTAAAATTCCGGGAAAAACTCCCCGAACCGGGCGAGTTAAAAATCAAAATCAAAGAAGTAATCCACTCCTTCTTCTCCAAGTGCCAGAGATGAAGAAAACATTTCCCTGCCTCAGAATTACAACGTTCTATCTGCTCAGTACCTAGTTTTGAGAATTTAACATCCATTTCCGATACGACTGAGCCAAATGCGTGGACAGTATTAAAAGCTCCCCACAAACATCATCATCATCATCCCAGTCCCAGCTTTTTTTTTTTTTCTTCTTCTTCTCATCCTCCCAACTTACAAAAAATTCTTCCCATAATTATTATTTCTTGCTTTTTAGTTTTTTAAAGAGGTAAATACATAAATAAATCGCCTGTGCCGTCTATTGTTCTCGTAATCATAACACACTGGGCTCAAAATAGGTATAGCTGGTCTCCCCACAAACACCCAAGTTACAAATGTCCTGTTCAGGACCAGAACCAGGGCCATCCACTCCGCATTCCGGCATGATAATAACTGAACTAACAGGTGTGCCCTACACAGATGGAACATACAAAAATATCAAACGTTTCTGTTAGAGTTTTACAGCATTTGCAACATAAAAAATGTCATATCAGGGCCGAAGATAAGGTGTTACAAGAGAGTAACAAACACAAAAAAAAAAAAAAGAATAAGGGAAAATAAGGACAACAGATGTTTGATAGGAAAGAAGGAGCAAAACAACACCAGAGCACCCTCCAACCACCCGCCAGGAGGGGAGATAAGGACGACAGATGGTTGATAGGAAAGAAGGAGCACACCACAAGGGAGCTCGTGCCAACCACCCACCCACTATAGTATATGTAACACAACTGTCACTCACCACAGGATCAAGTCCCAGAACACAAGCCGAATCAGTCAGGGTGTAGACAGCTGCTACCAGGGGCTCGCATTTGACCAAATTAGTACGCACCTGAGCACACAGAGAGTAATAATAATAATAATAATGAATAGCATTTGTATAGTGCATATCCCCGCTAAACAGCAGGTTCTATGCGCTTTACACTACATTAGTACCCCAGCAGACCATAGAACACTCCGAAACATTCTCAGCTTCCCGGGAAGCATACCCTGCAAGCAGCTGATGAAGCGCTCAAACACTAACAAACTGACAAGATCTTTCGCTGTCTATAGCCCGGTACCCATTCCCACCTGGGTGAAGTGAGGAAAATTTGTGTAAACTGCCTTTCCCAATGACACAACGTCGGGCCCCTGACGGGATTCGAACCCATGACCTTACGGTTGCGAGTCCGAGAGCCTAACCACTAGGCCACCGACGTAGAGGAGAGTCAAACAGTAACTCGGTTTTATATACACACCACCTTTCATTGAAATGGATAATATTACGGGCACAAGATTAATAATTCACAAAATGTATTTGTGAGGCAGCGTGGTGGAATCAGGCTCTCGTCAATTTTTAGGCACATAGAATTATTGGTATCATCTTAAAGCATGTTCATTTGTCTTTATTTGGTTTTAAAAAATATCCATTTATCTTTAATACAAGTCGAGATATTTGTGAATGAAGGAGGTGGGGGTCACCTGTTTTCAGAGGTAAAATTAGTGAGAAAATGGCCGCCAAAGATAAGTTATTTCCTTAGCTTAGGAGTCCGTGGTAACTGAAAATTTACATCTATTGTGTCTTTAATCAACGTTTTTCAGAAAAATCCACACAGACATGAGTTCTTTAACGAGCATGAAAGGTGTTGAGCCAAAAAAACTACATTTTGATAAAAATTCACAAACCTGCGGAAAAATGCAAGTTTCTTCACTTTGATTATTTTGACGAGAGCCTGATTCCACCACGCTGCCTCACATATTATTACGCAGACCATAGAACACTATGAAAAATTCTCAGCTTCCCGGGAAGCATGCAGTGCAAGCAGCTGAGGAAGCGCTCAAACACTAACAAACTGACAAGATCTTTCGCTGTCTATACGCTTTACACTACATTAGTACCCCAGCAGACCATAGAACACTCCGAAACATTCTCAGCTTCCCGGGAAGCATACCCTGCAAGCAGCTGATGAAGCGCTCAAACACTAACAAACTGACAAGATCTTTCGCTGTCTATAGCCCGGTACCCATTCCCACCTGGGTGAAGAGAGGAAAATTTGTGTAAAATGCCTTTCCCAATGACACAACGTCGGGCCCCTGACGGGATTCGAACCCATGACCTTACGGTTGCGAGTCCGAGAGCCTAACCACTAGGCCACCGACGTAGAGGAGAGTCAAACAGTAACTCGGTTTTATATACACACCGCCTTTCATTGAAACGGATAATATTACGGGCACAAGATTAATAATTCAGAAAATGTATTTATCTTTGTCAGCCTTTTCTTTGTTTTCATTTTTAATTGGTGGGGGGTCTTTTTCTGTTAAGGGGGTTGCAATATTCGAAAATTTGCACCCCTGTGGAATTTTTCATAACAAGCAAAAATGTTTTCATAATTTTAAACCTGTTTCACAGGACTCAGTGAAAAAGATCATACTGTCATCACCACCGAAGTCCTGCTGCCTTGACCCTATCCCGACACTTTTATAAGTCAACCATCTTGACGTTGTTACAGATTTGTGAACGCGTCATGCATCTGTATACCAGAAGTAAGTATGCTTGTCGGTGAGGGATCATCAAAACAGAACAACCGCGACAAAAACATCATAATACCTGCTCTTTAACTCTCTTCACACTTGAGTTGGTCGTAGCGATGATACTGTCAGCCAGCTTTGTTATTTCCTGTAAATACAAACACATGGACACAGATGTGAGTTTGATCAGTGTGAATCCAAGCTGCCGGAATGAAACACAGACCGACAAAATGATCCGTTTATCTTCTTTATCAGATATCCGTATCAGACAGCAAGAATAAAACTCATCCGACTAGGAGTTAACCTCTCTTACTCACGCAACAATCTGGTATACAATAGCGGAGTACACATCCATTCTTTAATTTTTTTTTAAACCAATCCCTCTTTTCCAAAAGCAATTCTTTGAATATCTTGATAACGACTCTAAATAATCTTACGATTTCGATAGAGCACATAGTACATTTGGTTTCTGACCTCTTGGTCTTAGTAACTCAAAACAGCCAAAAATGTCAGATAAAACTTTGTAATTTTGAGGTAACGAAATATTACGTGATACTAACTCAAACTGCCTAAATAGTTGGTCAACTTGTTTGTTCGTTTGAGTAAACAGAAGCACATCCACACAATAATGGTCATTTAGTGTTGGGAAAAAGACAGACAGACAGACAGACAGACAGACAGACAGACAGACAGACAGACAGACAGAGACAGACAGACAGACAAAAACAGCAGAAGGAAAGTAAATAGGAAGGACGTAAAAGTGGCATGCTCCGACCAGCCGCAGTTAGACAGCAAGTATATTCACATAATATCAAAAAGACACCGTGCAACTTAAAATTTAGAAACTAATAAATTCTTTTTTTTTTTAAAAACAACCCTATCACGATGTCAACACATAAGTACACTTGTTGCAACACATTATATTTAGATATCACACACGTTTCTGCAAGTAATCATAAGCAGCATTTGTACAGCATAAATTCCTACTCAACAGCAAGCTTAATTGGATCCATACTAAGCCCTTTCACAATAAAAAAAAACCACCCAAAAAAAACTCACAAAAAAAATTTTCAAAGCCGCAACTCCGTCTTTCAAGTACTCCAACAACACAACAAAGGCAAAATTGCATACTTACATTCTTGATCAAATCATCTTTGTTCGAATTAAAGTCTGTTTGTGCACCCTCTAAGTCTGTGATCAGCTTCAACACGGAGCTCTGAAAAGGGGACCCCAGAAAAAAACCAAAAACATGCAGATTATGAGCACTCAACATTTTACAAAAATATGCAAACGATACAAAAGTCTTGCTGTCAAAGGTGAAAGACAAAATATACAAAACGACTTTCAATTAAAGCATCAGAGGGGTGATATGCACAAAAATTAGAGAAAGAATTTCAAACAGGCAGGAAACTTTTGGTTTTTCCAATTTCACTGTTTTGACGAGTGCCTGATTTCACCATGATGCCTCGCATATTATTCTACGATTCATAAAATATTGATTCCCGATTTCTGAAGAAACAGTACTTAGCATGTGCTTCCCTCATTGTGCTCCAAATGTCTAATCCTGATACAAGAGTACTCTGAAAGGTCCACTCATGAAGAAGAAGAGGAGGACGAGGAGGAGGACGAGGAGGAGGACGAGGAGGACGAGGAGGAGGAGAAGGAGGAGGAGTAGGAGGAGAATATGCAGTTATAAAGTGCAAATCCACAGTCAAAAGCATGCTCCATGCATTTTACAAATAAAGGATAAAGGAAAACAGGACATTCAATGCTGTATTCTATCTATCCTTCACTATCTCCTACCTACAAATGTGTGTGTGTGTGTGAGTGTGTGTGTGTGTGTGTGTGTGTGTGTGTGTGTGTGTGCATGTCTGTCTGTATTTCAGTGTCTAGGTTTCTTTGTCTCTGTCTCAGAAAAGTCGGCCCTATCCTGAACACATTCCTATCGAGCCAAACTGACTTCCACCTAGTTCCACGTTGTCCTAATTTGTGCACTTATGCACCCTACCCCCCAACAGAACACCCCTATCCCAACCTACGCCATATCAGATTGAGCACCCCTTTCCCCAATGCGCCCCCCCTCCCCCACATCACTGCTTACTTTATCTTTGATCTGTTACTTCTACAGACCTCTCTCTCTCTCTCTCTTAAGACCGATTGGGCACGTTCCTCAATCGATCGATGGAAAGAGAAGAACCCGCACCATCTGTTCCTTCCGACCGGTCCCCACTCTCCGCTGCCTAGAACCCTCTGCCTCTGTTTGCCAACGATCAATCGGGCTGACACAAGCTAAATAGATCGTCCAAGGCTTTGACTTTTTAGGGGTTTTCTTGTTACAGATGCCCCCCCTCCCCCAACCAACCAATCCCAAATTCCCTCCTAACAGAATTCCCACTTC